GAGTCCATTCTTTTACTCTGGAGAAGACTCTCTAGATAAGAAAGTAAAAGTCTCGATCACGGATTCTTTGAAAAAATGATGGCGGTCTCAATCTCTCTGTTTTTTTTTTTTTCGTTGGTTTTACGTCTGCTCCTCTCCAGCTTCATTGTTAATCATTTCGCGGTGGTTATCGGATTTCGAAGAAACGACGGTTGACCTCGCGATCACCTGTGCGGAACACGCGATCATTAAGCGCGTTCCTTTCGCTCTCTCCTCTGATCTCCACCGTTTCTTTCTTTCCTTTCCGTCGTTCTGCTCGTCGTTGAAAGAAACGTAAAACCTCGTAATCATAATTCTCCAGACCAGTTGGAGTAACGAGTTCCTCCACGTAGAACAGAAGCAATTATGATCGATTGTTCTTTGGGATTGTACTTAGTAAAACTGTTTCTTTTTTCGGGATCGTCGAACGAGATACACGTTTAGTCGATCGTAGCTCGAACACGGCCGATAATCGTGGCCGAGGAACCTCGACGCGCCATTGTCTCCGGATTCTTCTCTGCCCGCTGGCTGATTAAAATTCATAGAAAGTGCAAATTAACCGTGACGCTTACGGCCAGGTGTTCCTGTACGCGAGGCAAGGATTCCATACGATAGCCCCGGTCGAATGCCTGATTAAACCTTCGTGCCCGTACACGTTCGTCGGCTTGGCCGTACGTGTTATGACTCTATTCGCCCACTTACTGGTCAGTGACGCTCGCGAGTCAGTAAGATCGCGGCCAGTTCTGGCACGATTTACGGATGTTATATAACCAGAAACCGGCCGAGACGCGGTAGTACGACCCGCTGTCACGAATAATTATCTATAATTAAGTGACGTAGTCCGGCTGTCGAATCGATGAATTTATTTCGAATCGGCTGCCCCGTCCGCGATTTCGCTGTCGACGTTTTAATGGAACGTGTTTACCCAGATCACCGTCGGTGTATTTTTGCTGATCGTGCGAGCGTTCCACTTAATACATTCTTTTATTCCTTCGGTAACTTTGTTCACGGTTCGACGAGCGTAAAATCACCTCGGGCGATGCTTAACCCTCGTCCGTCAATTTTCCAATTTCATTCGTTTCTTGGTGTCTCTTGATCCTGTCTGGGTCTTAGTTAAGACTTCCAAGTAAGTCTTCCAATGGTTAAACGTTCGTGTCCAGAATGAATAGTCAAATTTGTAAATTCTTTCATTAACGACAAATGAAGTAAAGCGTCTGTTCGATTGCGCGTACGATTCACACAATACTCTCGCGCACAGCTGTTTAATTTCACACCGTGATCTTATCTCTTTTAATTTTCTCCAACTTTATGATCGTTTGCTTTGGACTTCCTCTTGTTAGATCTAACGTGGCTCATGAAAGTACATATTCGAACACTCGTTGTAATAAAAACTTTCACGTATCTGTCTCTCTCTCTCTCTCTCTCTCTCTCTCTCTCTCTCTCTCTCTTTCTCTCTATATATATAAAGAAAAATTTCATTGATACTATGATGAATCACGATTGTCGTGATTATATTGATAAGACTTTGAGCCAACCTGACAATCTATGTAGAAGTTGGACGATTTTTATTGTGAATATGTATCTAGCAAAAGATTGGTATATTATTATCTTATACACATAATAAATATTAAAGATGGTCTCACTGATTATGGTGATGATATCTTATTGATAAAACATTATGGTTAAACTTAAACATTTTTATAATCCCTGAAGAAATATATATTTCTTTTAAACTGCAATTTCTACATATATTTTTAAATTTGTTTGACCAATATAATCACAGTGGTTGAATCTTACCAGTATCAATCAAAATGTTTTACATCGGTATCCGAACACTTTCGTACTTATGTACATCTTCGTAAAGATGGTACATTCATTGAACAATTATGGTACAACGATTCAAAGCCAATGGCACCAAGAGGCTTGATAACGAGAAAATCATCAAAAATATATGCTATATGTTAGGAAAAATAGATTTTATGACAAGGGACGTGTCGAGTGAAGGATGAGGGTCATCCTCTTCCGGATGGAAGTCTGTTCGGCAGGTACGCTACCTGTATTACCAGTAGCACCTCGTTCCCTCATTTTCTTCTTTTCTTTCCATTCCGTTTTAATCTGTAATCTACATTGCCGCTACGTTAACCGAACTGACTTCGTAAACTTTGCACAAAGAACGGATCAAGCACGATAATCTTTTTTCGGAGGCAACAATGGCGTAACCGTGCCCCCCTCCCCTTAGCCACGTTCATTTCGACAAAGGGTTCGTTAGTTTCGTCGGCAAATATTTTCCCAGGCTTATCTGCGACAACGTTAGCTCTATGATAACGACCGGGCGACTCGTCGCGTTGGAACGCCGACTGCCGCTTTAAGGAATACACAGAATACACGCATCTAATATATCCTGCTCTCCTGATCTAGTCGGTGAGGTGATCTCTTTATTGCGAACGAATGGATTAAGCAAACGAACGAGCGGCGGCTCCTTTCGTCCGGTTGGCGTAACGATGAGTAACCAACGATAACGGGCCGTATCAAGATCATTGTTAATAACAACAAATTCTAGCTTCGAACTGGCTCTGGTTGTCGTTGCTCGCTCGTGGTTTCTCCTGTTTTTCTCCTCTCGGTTGGGCTCTCTCGCGTGCCGCATGGAACGAAGACAAAACGCGGTTGTATATTCCACGGTTGTAGCTCGCGCGAGATCACGCTGCAGATTTCTCCTTGGCAATCAGGGTCGTATTCCGCCTCCCTCTACGTGACTATCTCGAGCGGAATAGCCTCGTTTCCACCTCGTCCCTCTCTCTCGCCGCGTATTACACTATTATCTATCTCCCGAGCGGTTATGCCCGCTGGACGTTTCCAGCCGGTGTAACCGAGAGCCAGCAGCCCCGGTCAGCGGCGTGTTCGATCCGTGAAATTTCGTCCGGCGATCTCGAAGGAGAGGCGTTCAACAAGTGTTGCACGCGAGGAATGGAGCACGGCATGCCACATTGTTGCAGACCAATGTCGTTGCACGGATTACTCGGTGCAGAGTACAGTCGATATTTCAAAGAGAGAGAGAGAGAGAGAGAGAGAGAGATTAATCAAACTGCTTTATCTAGAGTTATAATCTCCCGTTGTCCTAGGTTATTTCCATACGTCTCATGCGAAGCAGAAAATGGGACTGGTAAATTTTCTGGAATGCCTCTCGTCTCTCGTGAAAAGTTGGAAACTTTAAATTAGATCGTCTTTGATGTTATGAACGTCGTTCGTTAAAATAAATATGGATTATAATGGGATTAATTGGATCGCGAACGTCGTGTCAGCAAGAGAGCTTAATTGAATTGCTTTATTTAGCGAGAGGCAACCTCTCGTCGATGCGTGTTATTTTCACGTTTGTGTGTATGTGTGTGTGTGTGTGCAGTATGGGGTATAAATATCGATTGCAAACTTTCGGATATTTTTATTGCTTTAGCGAGAGCCTGAAGATTGAAAATCTGGCCGTTGAATTGATGATATATTAAAATTAAATTCAACGTGGCGTTTATTTGAAAAATTCTCAATCCGGAATGAGGCTAATGTTCAATAAAGTGTTCAATAAAATTAAATTCAATGTCTAGTCCACGAGAGACTTCGTTGAACTGCATCATTGAATGATTTGACCTTTCATTAACTCATAAATATCGATTTCAAGCGTTTGATTTGATATATTTAATTTATTTATTTATTACAGTTATTTGATGTTCGTACAATGTAGATTTGTATGTTATAATATCGAATTATCGACGTGAATGTCGCTTGAAGTGAATACTTGAAAATCGTGCGTCTATGTTTAAACTGCTTGATAATTTCGTGATGGAAAGATCAATCGAGACTCGCTTCAAGCCACAAAATCTTTATTTTATCTTCTTCTAAGATGTTCTTACGCTACACAGCGAACGCGAATGCGAATTGAAAAATATTCTTCACAGACTGAGTCTGCTCTCTCTGCTATTTAGTGATCGAAGGAAGTCTCTCCTTCTAAAATTTGACGCACAATTTTCATTCGATTGTTGAACATTTTCGAACCAAGCACGGCAAGCCCGATCGCGTAATTTAACAATACGTACGATATTAAACTGGAATTCAACGTAACGTGTGTTGCACAATTAAGGGGGAACAACGACATCGAGTGTACAAAATTCTCAAGCGAAATGAGACTAATATTCAACAAGTGTTGCATACATTGCCTGCGAAAGCATACGTTACAATGGTACGCGGCCCATTAGTATCCCGTACATCTGTTCTGCCCCGAATGGAGGGCGTATAACCGGGAAATGGCAGCGATATTAAGTACATTATTTTAGGTCCCGTTTCTCTTACTTGTTATGCCGGTGCCGTGCGACCGATCGTACACCTTACTTGCATTTGCCACAAACACGCTCGAGAAACACCGATGGTCATCCGCGTGGTGTTTAAATCCATAAAAATCAATTTCCCTCCCCTCCCCGCCACCCTTGGTTCAACAAGTATCGCGTGCAAGAATATCGTACGTTCAGCATCGCGACGCGAATGTAATTTTAGGTTAATGAAAAGTGGGAATAGGTGGTTATATTAAGGACATTATTTCGAGTCCCGTTCGCGTTGCCTCGTTCACGGTTATATATCTGCCTCTGCTACGCTTGGAAACTTAATATTTAATTTACGACACACCGTGTACGATAAAACCGTGGCTATTAAAGTATGAAAACTTGTGGCAGAGAGATGGAGGTTTCAATCTGCAGATTAATGGGGTAGATTTCTTTTTTTTTTTTTCTCTCTTTTTTCGTTCGAAATTGTCCGCTGTTGAACCCTTAAAGATTCGTATCGAGGAAATTAGAACTCCAGACTCCATTTCAGTATAATAATAGTATTAAAGATAATAATATAATAGCATTATACATTATAATATAATAATATAATAATAGTATTAAACATAATATAATAGTATGTTAAACATAATAATATAATAATAGTATTAACATGGCACCCGATATTAAATTTATCAAATCGTACGAGCATCACGTGCGGAGATCCCGGAGAGCCCAATCGAAATACATAGCAGCGAATTATCGAGGCTTTCTTCGAAATTTCTCCGATTGACGAAGAACCTGCAGGCAAAAGGAAACGTTAAGCAAATTATTAGGAATCCTGCTGCGAGGGTTTCTTATCGATTCTTTATTACGAGAGAATCTCGCTTACCGTGCAGGAACGCTAGTAAATGATATTGTTGGTTAGCAGTACGGTCTCAGTTAGAAATTACTCGACGCCTGATCTTCGTGTAACCTCGGCCACGTTATTCTCCAATGGTGTATTAGGCAAATCGTACGTTATCTTCCGATCGAAAATCCCAATCTCGTAGGAAGTTCCGGAGCGCCTTGAACGCCTCGCGATGCACGTCGATTAGCATAAGTGTTATATGGCTGGTATACTGTGCGGCGTGTTTGCGAGTCGATCGACTGGTTTTATCTTTTGATTTAAAAGATTGTTCACTTTTGCTGAAATGAAACTTTGGAGGAAAATGAAACTCTACTGGACAATTAAATCACTAGGGAGCAAATAATAATTTATCAACGAAGATCATAATTGAATCGATAGCCGTTGATGATAAATAGTCGATATTTCAAACAGTTACAACTTGTACGTAACAAAATCGTGAAGTTTGAACTAAAGAAAAAAACCCAACATCCCAAAATCATGTAGCAAGTTCTAAGAGAAAATTTCAATCTTCAAGACGATGACTCTATTTGTTGTTAGTCGTGTAAACAAAATTTTCTACGTTTTTAGAGATGTTTCATTGATTCCCGAGGATAAAAGTATCCTTACTTTTCCATTCGTGTTACGATGTAAAAATATAGTTTTACAATCTGTAACTCTCCGTGTTTCCTACGTAAAAACAAGATTTACAGTGAAGTAACAAGATTTAGGATGAAGCAACACATTAATATAATAGTTTGGATGTTTCAGAATATGTTTAATGCTTCAATAGTTAACAAAATTTGCAAATAAAACATTCCTAGTTTAGTAAAAACACGTTGAACGTGTGGTTCTAATTCAATGTTCATGATCTGTACAGGAAGATAATTTATTGATTAAATTTTCCTATTACCCTAGTCACAGTTCAAAACAGACGGTCATTATGTTTTTCACAAAAGCAGTCGTTCACCACCATCTATCCAGATCAGGGCTCAAAGTGTGGGTCACAGAAATTCTAGCAAAACTTAAAAAATTCCTGGACGCGCAACGACCGCGAAGATTAATTCAAAATCGAAAAGTTTGGTCTTTAAAATGGAAAAAGAATTGTTTTCGAATAAATTTTCTTCACGACTCATCATCAGCGAACGTTTTAATTCTTATTCCTAGTTTATATACCCAGAAATTCGCGGGAATATTTACTCGGATCGCCAAGTGATAAAGTTTGAGAAGCCCTGAATCTAGATGGACGTACGATTATCAATCCCATCGTAGCGATTGAATCTTTCGATAACAGTCTTCCTCGAGGTCGCGTGATTAGCGATCGATTTATGAATCATCGAAACGAGGGAAGATTAATTCGGGAGCGAGGGAGGAGTTGCTCGATTTGGCGTTGGTAGACGAGTGTTATCGCGGGTGTCTCGCGTGTCGCAAGGCCAGAACGCCGACTCGGCGCTCTTGCAATTTGCGTTAAGCACGACGGCGAGCGAGCGTAACAACGCCTCGCGTTTAGCAAGCTTTTTGTCGCCAGCCGATATCGGTCGAATCGATCCCGCCAAAATTATTACATTGTGACGTCCACACAGGTGAGCCTCGTGTTCTTCGGGCTGATTGTCCACCGGAGCGATACACACACTGATAGAAACGATTCTCCTCCCTGCCTGTCTCGGTTTTAAGACCGTCTATAAACCGTCTATAAACGGCCATCGTAAATTTAGCGATGCATCGGTTAATCTGGCCTCTCTCTCGGTTGGATACATGTTTGTTACACCGCGAGGAATTACCACCCGAGAAAGAACGCTCGCCACTCCTTTGACCGTGTTCAGGCTGCTACCGCTGGATTCTATCTGCCAGTATCCACGTGAAATTACGCAACGAGGAAATCAGATAGTCCATTGATAGGATGGCAACGTGAACGTGTGCCGGTGGCTCGCTTATTGGTTTCGAGGGAAGCGAAACTGGTCTCGCTGATACGAGAAACCCATTACGCTGTTACTTATTTACGTGAACCGTGGAGGCCTGAGGTTCGAGGAATATTCCACGCGAAACGGCGTGATCAGCCGTGTACAGAATGTTTTCTCACGACCGGACGAGGATAGCGAACTGCACGAGATACATTTCGTTGTCGGATGGAATCATCGAACGCGTCGTGGTTCGATCATCGATCACGCGACCTCAAAAAAAAAAGATAAAAAAAAAAGAAAACTTCCTTCTTTCTTCGCCTCCTTTTCTCCTTTTTCTTTTGAAATCTATGAATTTCGTGAATCGAGAAAGGGAGATCAAAGACGCACGGTGTCTGATGTATAAAACGGTGAATCGAGCGTAACGCGATCGTGTGTCGAAACTCCGCGATACCGGACGACGGCGGTCTATAAATATGCGATCGGAGGTGAAATTGCATTTTCTTCGTTGCGTCACGACGAGCTCGCCAAGAGAGCGAGCGGTTTAACGAGCCACCGGCGATAATTCTTTACGGCGCACGGTAATTACACGTGACGGGAGATGATAATAAGCATGGTTAACAAAATGCAATTTATCGTGGATCCTCCGTGTGAAAACGTATTAAAGCCGCAAGAGGAGTGGCTTGGAACAATATCGCTCCGTGTTCTTACGTCATTGGACGTATGCATCGGCTCGGGTGTTCTAACGTGCATTTTACGAATCCGAGCCAAGTTTCATAGCTTTGGAGTACTACTCGAAAGTAAAAATGTTGCAGTGTATTTTATTTATGTAGCACAGTAGTGCCCTCATAAATTTCCATAGTCGGGACCGAAAATGGACGCTTAAGAAGGGCGGTGTATTTTGGCATCGAAAGAAAGATGCGGGGATGAGCGAGGATAGTTTAAATTCCAAGAATTGGTGGGGATAAGCGGCGGACACTTACAACTATGGTCACTTACGAAGGTACTACTGCATTAAGTGAACAATGACAGAATAATTTTAGAGTACAATTCTGCTTTCAGTGATAGTATTACAATGATATGATTTTCAGTGTAATGTACAAGTTGGGATTTTGGAACCTAGAAAGAATATCTATAAGTTTCGAAATCATACTCACAAGTAATTCTATGTTAGATTCGAAAGTGATATTTCATAAGTAGACTACTAGAGAAGGACTCAAAGATGCATATGTGGATGTCACGCATGCTTATACCGGTATACAATGGGACAGCATGTTTCATTTTTGTTTACAAAAATTATAGCGTGCTTTGAATGTTAAATATACATTATCAATTTAACAAAATCTCTGTTACGTAAGAAATCATCTCTCTGTGATGTTTGAGCTAAAAGATGCATTCAGTTGTTTAGTCGGTTGTTTATCTGTATTTGTATCAATTGTCAGGTAAATATTTTATATTTTGCGCGGTTGAGGATCACGTATAGAAAAAGGAGTATGCTTCGTTCAATCAAAAACTTTCTGACGCACGTCGGAACTCACGTCAGTTTCGAACTTGCTAGTTTCGAAATGCTCGATCTCAGCAAGTATCAGTTTTTAGTTTCGTACGCACGAAGCATTTGAAACACACAGGAAGTGTTGTATAAAAACATAAATTACTCGAATAAAATATATAAAATATTTTTTATAAACACGAATTGTTCGAATGCAAATTGGAGGTACGTAACGTGAGCTCGGTAATAGGTAAATACTGTAATATTGCTTGCGTAAATATTACACAAAATCATTTTCACGAATGTGAGATCGAACAACTGGAGTTACCTGTAGTACTTATCAGGTATTCGATCCTCAGATGTTGGTAGACTGAAAAACACGTCTACGTGATACGTGTGTTTCAATCGCGGTGAAATCGATTGCTTTTGATTTATCCCGATTTTCATTAAATTCCAATGGCCGCCGGCGCGGCGCCGCGAAACGATCGGTTTAATCTGCGGGACCCTGACCATCCTTATATCTCGAAGACAAAGTACGCGTATTAGGAATGCATAGCAACGTGCACCGGCATACAGTAGCTACGGCGCGACATTAATAATTCATGGCAGTGCGAACAGGGAAGAGTTAGGCTTTGGGGAATTATAAATATTTAGATCGTTCTGAAGATCGTCGGCGAACAAATGCTGGAAATGCTGAAACACCGTTTTCTGCCCTTCTCTCCCCCCCCCCCCGTGCTTTCCTCTCTCTCTTTCTCTTTTCTACCTCTCACTCACAGTTGCTTCTTTCGTTTCCATGCCCGATAAACCTCGCCGTTATGCCGCGGGATGCATTGTGCGTGCGTGACTGTACTCCTTTTTCCTCTCTTGCATTCTGATTATTGATCTTTTTCTTTATCTTGCGAGAACTTCACGGTCGGATTCTTGCTCGTTAGATGTACGAACCAAGCGAAATATTCGAAGACTGCGGGGGAAAGAATGCGGTAAGCTCGTTCTCTACCTTTCCTACGGAGGGAGGGTTCGATTCACCTGTTAACTGGATCGTTCCTCAAATCTCTAGAAATCTCCAAGATCTTGATCTTAGATCTCTCGATCTTTCTAGGAATTTCTGTCGCAGTTGCAGGAAATGAAAGAAATAATCGTGCTTTCTCATCTGTATTCAGAATTCTCAGACCCGTGGGTCTGAGAAATTAGAACAAAAATATAGTTATCACGTTCTTCCTCCGCCTGGTATTCACCTGGATCACGTATTCAGAATTCCCTTCTTTCTCACAATCAGCCATACATACACACGCAGTCGAACGTCTCGTGGATTCTGCAAATCGCTTCTCTCGTTGGCCTGTCGATGATGCCCCGGCGTAAATTTTCTCGATCGTCGTTCGCGTGAAATTCCCCACTCCGTTTCTCCGTTGCGCTCGTGAAACTTTTGCCCCTCGCACGATCTCTCGAAAAGGGCGTCGATCCACCGAGAGCCGAGAAACGACGCGCGGATATTAAAAATCAGAAACGATGCGAACGCAGCCTCGTATTGCTCGACGTATCGAGTGCCAACGGATATCGATGGTCTGCGGGGAAAAAGGCTCTCGAGTGGATCTCGGTTAGGACGAGACCAGGAAGTGGAAAAAAAAAATGGAAGAAAAATAGGCATTGTGCGGAAAAATAGGGGATTTCAGCGGGACAGAATTACCGAGTCGTGTACCGAGGAAAACGATCCGCCGCAGGCGTTCTCCGCACTTTGCGCAATAGGAAAACACGCGTTTACAGGCGCGTTTCGTTGCGTGGGATCGAATTCTTTGCGGTGGGAGCTTTTTATTACCCGCTTAATGCCGCGGCTAGAACACGGGGATTTACGCAATTCCTCTTTGTGCAAAGTGGAACGCATCTTATCTTAGAAACTGCCTCTGCGCGTCTGTATTCTCGCGCCGTGTCTGAACGGACGCGCCTAAACTATTGTAGGATTGCTCAAGACCGAATAATATTGAGCAATTTGTCTTGTAATTTGCCAAGTTCGGTTGTTGGTAATATTTAAGCTTCCTATATTTGAAACCGGACTATTTATTGTTGGTAGCGTGATAATCGGCGAAATATATATATCGTACATACGCTTACGGCGGCCAAGAATTTGGGCACACGCTTGTGCGTGAAGCGTATAAATTTTCTAACATCAGTATGTGCGTACGTACTTTTAAATATATTAGTGATTTCATTGCCTGGAGTATTTTAGTAAAACGAACAACAACGAAATATTAAATCAACATAAGATGAATGCAGCAATGGCGTACCTTAAAATTTGGCTGATACTGTATTCATATTGGCAGCCTTATATAATTATAGTTACGAGGATGTAACTTCTATTCATAAAAAAAAGGGTCAATATTAATGTGTTCTCAATTGTAATTGCTATTTACTTTGTTTCTTACCTAATACTTTCTAATTGACTCAACTCTACCATAATTTATTTGGTTATTTCAATTACTTTCAACATTTACTTTCAATATTTAACATTTTTCCTTGTCGGGTCTAAAAGTACACAATATTTTATCGTTTTGTCATTATTATTTCAAAGACGAATGATATTTCGCAATTAAACTGCGGACCTTTGTGCATTTATTTAAGCGAAATTGACATACTCACGCAATCACATTTTCAATCACATTCTCAAAGCCATTAATCTGCACAAAAATACACAGCCAGCTCGACTATTCTGCATAAAATTCATGATCGAACTTTGAATCTCAATTAACCCAAGTAACCTCATTTCGCTCGATGTATCACTCGCTGCTCTATCCTCGTTAATACCATCTCCAAGGTGTCACGATCAATCCTTTTACTCCTGTCTGCTCTTATTTTTCCTGCCAGTTATTTGTTATTCCCTCGCCGTCTATCGATTAACAACAGGCTATACGGTTATACCTGACGACTTTACGCTGTAATCATTTCGTCTTACCACGCTACTTCTTCACGACGTATTTTATTTAAGTTGCCGTAATGAAGACCGGTGATTATCGGGGATTTTCAATTGGCCCTCCCGACGCTATATACACGGTCTCGATCACCTCGGAGGTGTGTTCAAACTATTACCTCTAATGGTTATTAAAGAAATTACCTGACAGGTAGCTACTACGCAGTAGTAGTAGGGGAGGGAACAGGTTTTATTGTGTCGAGCGAACGTTTCTTCTCTGCCGTCTCTTTTTTTCTTTCCTCCTTTTCCTCTTTTTTCGATATCGAGCCATTCCACTTTTGACGTGTTCCAATCCGAGTCCCGTAATGCGGTGAAATCGACGTCGACTTTCTTCTCTGTCGAGAGCACCGAGAATGCACAATCCCCCTCCTTCCTTTTTATCCTCTCCTCGCGACACCAGTTGGCTCGGTCTCTCCCCTTCTCGATAAAGTTGCAGCGTTCACGCGACCTTTCTTATTTCCTGAACCTTTCCCCCCGGTGGCCTTGACCTAGGCCTTCTCCCTGGCAGGGGTCGATCAATCAACGAAGACTGGTGCAGCCTGACATCGGCGAATTGCGTAAATGGCCCGACCTGGCGTTGCTCGTTTCGAAATTGTACATTTCCAAGCCTCGTGGCGTGGAACTTTCGTGTTTCTGTGAAACGAGCGGTTGCTATGAAATTTTTACGTGGACGAAATTGCGACGAGAGGTTCGATCGATTGATATTTACAATGATGACCACGTTCGATCGATCTCTACAGCGAGCTGTCTGTTGGATCGATTCGAAGCGTTGAAACGAGAGCTACAGCGAAGAGAGTATAAACGAACGAATTGTATTTCGTAAATCATTCTTTATTATCAATGACATTAATCTCTCGATTTATACATTGTTACACAATATATTTGTGCATTATTCTATGCTTGTCAAATATATTTGTATTGCTTAAAATTTCGTGGTAGATATAGACATGCATACATACAACGTAGTATAATATTCTATATCTATTTTGAACTACTATATAACAATTCTTTTGTATATTATATTATATATAGATATACGAGAAAAATTATGAAGCAAGGTATTAATGTTGATGATAATATTACGTAACGTACACACGATATGATATATCATACTATAATAATATTATGTAACGTACACATGATACGATATTATATTATATAGCCTTAGTATTTCTTGTACACCTTGAGCAAAACGTCGATGGAGCAAAAGTTATTAGTTGAATTATGTGTTCCTGACGACAACCTATCTCGCTACCTCGAAATGTCCTCCAATACTTACGAAATGACGTCTATATACAATACAACGATACATAGCGTAGCGATCTAAACGGTAACAAACGACTGGAGCGTGGAATTAATCAGTACAATGCGACGCTGATTACGCGGTTGAAGTTCAGAACTCCTCGGTAGGGTTACCGGCTTTCAATTGTTCGTTGCGTAATGGTTCGATCGACGATAATCTGCTGGCAGCACCGTGGCCGCGAGGAGAAGTGCTTCCCTATTAGCTTTCGGTTACGTTGCCAGCGCGTTACCTTTGCCTCCGATGGATATTAAGTCGATCGATGACGATTAACTCGTCGGGCAAATTGAAATTCAATAAGCGGCCAACACGAAATCAATAGCGAACGGCACAGCGTGTTCGTTCGTCGTTCCGATTCGTTTGCATTTCCTTCGGTTTCCCATGCCTTCTGTCGCGCGTTTCTATTGAAACGTTTCGTTTCAACACCGTTCTGCGCCACGCGAGGTCACCGCGAATCTTTTTCTTTTAAGGCGTTTTTTGATATTTTGGTTTCAAGACGAAAGAGAATTATTGTAGTACATTATCCTGGGGATGCTACAACTTTACTGTTGGACGCAAGTAGATTCGGTAATGTTGGGACGAATAAACCTGCTACTACATATTGTTAGACACAGAAAGAGATCAATAATCGCTGACTAACACTGTTGACAAAATATATCATTGCACGGACAGGGAAACAAAATTATCCTAGGGCCGTTCCCGTTTTGTAAATCACAAGTTCAAAAGACGTAAGACGAATAGAGATCTTTTGCCTCGTTCTTTTGCATATTGCTAATGGATGTTTGTACTTTGAATAATTTTTACGTTTTTTTTCTTTTTCGCACACTTTCCATAAATTCTCGCGCATTGCAATTTCTCACGGACGCACGCAATAATAATTTACGATTCACGCGATCTGGAAAACAACTTATGTAATGTGGCGCGGAAGACACCTGCAGTGTGTTAGTGCGATATGATTTTTCTTTGTTCCAGGCGTCCGATGGATTAACGAAGTCGGTGAACAGAATCCAGACGGAATCGAGGACGAGTTCATTGCAATCGGAATTTCAGTGACGTTTCAGCGGCTTGATCGTGATCGTTCGTAACGATGTAAAGAACAATGTAACACCGTTGTCCGTGGCACACGTGCAGAAGACTGAGAGAGACCAAGTGGCAAGGGACGAAAGGAAGGGATAAACAATTCGGCGAAGGAAAAGCGACGTCGATCGATCGGTTCCTTGTAAAAAACGAAGCGCCCGATCGATCGGTTTCCTCTCGAAGGTATGCCCTCGCCAGAATCGCACCTGGTTTTCTTTTTCTTTCTTCTCTCTCTCTCTCTCTCTCTCTCTCTTTCTCTTTCTCTTTCTCTCTTTCTCTCTGTTTCTTGGAAACGAAGTTCCACGCTGCTAGATCGCCACACGATCGCCCGACAGGTCGAGACCGCCTACTTTCTATCGCGCTGCAGCGACTCTCGAGGTGCACCGTCGGTAAAATCCTCCAGAAACGAGTTTTACGGCCGATTCTCGCAGCGAAACGCGACGAAACGGCCGTAATTACTCGAGAATAGCACCGTGAGGCTCCTTCTTCTTCCATTTCTTTTTATTCTCCCCCCCCCCCTCCCCTTTTTTCTTCTCATTCTCTCTCCGTCTTCTTTGTTTCACTGGCTACGAGTCGATTCTGTGCAAGGAGTAGAATACGAATGATAATCGATTGACCGTAAACGGGTCGATCGTGTTGGTTGCCGAAGAGATTCGAAGACGGACGAGTCGAAACAAATTGAATCGTGTGGCGATTTTAGAGCATTCTCAGTTGATGGTTTTGAATCGTAAAATCCTTACCTGATATATAAAGACTTGACAATATAATAATGGTAATTTGTTTCTAATAATAATTCATTTATTGTGATTCTTTGGTCAATAATAGACTATATTACGATATCATGATACATACGCTTGATTGTTTGAAATTTACAAAAGAAGTTACAGATGCAAGTTGGAAAATTATACTAAAAAGTACTAAAATCGAATGAGCTGTTTACGTAAATAATTTTATCAAAGTATTATTTCCCTAATGACAATTTGAGAATGTGAAAAATGATATTGCAAAGTTCCATCAGCTATAATTAGCTATGAATTTTGAAAAGAGGGCTACGTTGTCATAATTATTACATCAATATTCGTTATACTGTAACGGACGATGCTAATGCGAGAACGAATTTAATCGACTAATCAATTTGATCAATTTAATCTGAAATGTATTTATATCGACACGATAAGCAACAAGCATGTATTCTCCATATACAATTTTCTACTGTTGTGTTGCATTGCATCGAATTGAAAATCTTCGACATCGACACACACGTGCTGATCTGATTCTTACAATTTCACATTAAACGAATCGATTTCGAGTTCATTCACGAAAACTTCGTGTTTCTTGTTTCCAGTTTTATTACACTACCGTTTCGCGAGATCGAGCAACAGGAGACTAATATCGGAAGGTGGAACAAACAAAGGACGAAGCGGTGATCTGAGAGAAGCTACACGGGTTAACCCTTATATCATAAGCAGATTAGATTAAATTAAATTCTCAACGCTTTCGATTTGTCGCCGGGTTTACGACCAGATACACGCGCTTGCGTATCGCGCATCGACAGACCTGTACAAAAAGTGAAAGAGAATTCGGGTGGATAGAAGAAAGTGCATATATATATATGTAGATATATATATATATATACATACATACATATATACATACATACGCGTACACACACATACGCACGTATATATACATATACGAGTAAAATCAACGAGGGAAAGTAAGACGAGATGTACAGAGATCCGAACAGTTCCTCGGGAAGCGGTACCTCCACAAAGGACGACGAGGTCGAGATCGTTAGCAGATTTTTAGCGCCTTTGTGTGCGAGAGATGAAACTGCCAGAAACATCGCTCTGGCGGCGGCCAGGAACACGGTCGAGGGATGGCTCGGAGGGGTTGGTAGTCCAAATCACTGGGACGACACCGGTGAGATGGAGGACTCGGAGAACGTTGGGGGAAAGTTCAAGAGCCAAGATGGAAGGTGAGTGGCGCCAGCACAGACATATGTACATATGCATCTTTTTTTCTTTTTTCTTTTTTTTTTTTTTGCACCGATACGCCTTCGATAAAATCTCGCATGTCAATATTCACGACCATTTCTATACACAGTGTGTATGGATTAAAGAAATATTTGCATATCTCCTTCCTTTGGAATATCTTTATGTACTGCAATGATACCTTAATGCTAAGTACACGTTTATAAATCACTGCGCATTTAAGAAATTTGAGATACGGTTGGATGGAGTTGACACTAGAAATGGCCTGATCATACTATAATCTTAACTCCGTTGTTACTTCTTAAATCTTTTAAATAGTTGTCTCATACAAATACGAAATTTTGTTTTACTAGTCTTTTGCCAGGCGACACTATATTAATGTCGCAATAATCATTTTGTTCAAAATGAACGAGGATCTGATAATTCATGGGACTGTATGTCTTTCAATGATTTTTAACATATACATGTTATCTTTTTTTTTTTTAGTAATATGATGCTAAAAACTTATGAAAGAAAAATATCATGGTCAAAGAAAAGTTATTAATATGCTTGTAATATAATTAGAAGATACCATGTATCTTCACAAAAGAGGTATTTAATATTTTGTAATCGACTTGGCATTAATTTCGCAAGTCGAACTATTTGATTATATCAATCAAAATATCATTTCGTAATTTATGTTCAATTTTCTAGAATTTGATTTTATACTGTGCTTTATATTTCTCATGACAGAAATCAGCGAGAAAATTTTCATCGCCTCCCAAATGATTCAATAGTAGAATCAGTACAATTTCATTCGTTCAAGTAGTCAGTTCTCCTTTAGCTTTCCAAATTCATTAACCAATACATACTATGCTCGTGACGTTCGTAACATACAGTAAGAATTATTTATTACCCAACATAACGATCATTCGAGAGTCATTAAACGGCGAGAGAAAACCGGCAAGTCATCCGAGGCTCACCCATTCACTTCCGCACGAATTTTTCTACGCCGGTGTCCAAGTCTTGCGGTCTGCTAATACAAACTTCATTACCTTTCACGAGAAGATACGACATGAACATCGAGCGATCCCCGACCAAGTCGGCCCCGAAGAACGTCCAACCCTCTCTGCAGCAGCCGTTGCTTCAAGACACCTTCAGAACGGAGGGTTTCTTCCCCCAAAGCGTCACGGAGAATCCCGTTTTCTTAGAAGACAACAGCCTCGAATGTTCCGAGAGATATCCATCGGGCTCGTTCGACTGCGTGGACGGACGACTTGGGAACGAAACGGGCTACGGTACACCGAACGAGAGGAGAAGATACGCGACCGGCGACGTGGAGAGTTACAGGTCCGGTCACTCGACGTCGTCCGACGAGGGCAAGGGCTTCAAGATCGACTCTCAGGACAGATGTCTCAGGTTTAAGGACAATTCGGAGACGCGATTCGGATCGAGCAGCGAGAGCGAGAGGAAGTATCTCGGCTCGTCGTCGAACGAGAGATTGAACGAGGTGAGCCTGGAGGATAGGCCGAGAACGAAGAACTACGTGAAGGTGAAAGGCGCGAAGCAAAAGCAACTGGAGGACGACGAGTTGGATTCTGACCTGAGGATCTACGGGAAGAGCCCGAAATTCGACGAGAACCTCGGCGCCAATTTCGATCGCAGGAACTTGAATTACTGCACGAAGGGCGATGTACTGCCGCGCGATCACCGGCGTTACGACAGCGTGGACGACGTCTCCTTCGACGAGACGGAGATGACGATCAGAAATCGGGACGGTGTAGTTTTCAATACTCTGGATGGCTTCGAGAACGAGAACGCCAATGAGATTTACCACAGACACGACGATAATCGCGCCGAGGACACGAAGCTGAAGAACTTCGAGATATACACGGACGTGGAATCGTTGGACGACGGACGACATCGTTGCACGCGTGCCGAATTGCCGCAGGATTACCTGCGCAAGAACGACGAGCGGAAGTTCAGCGCCGGGCAGATCAAGAGACCGCTCTCTCAGGACGAAGATGTATCCTCGAAGAGCGGCAGGGTGTTGGAGAGTCCCGATGTCACTCCTGGAGACGTTGGTAGGATGCTTAATCTGGGAAACGCTCTGGATGGTCCGAGGCAAGCTCAGGCGAATAAGTACTTGAGCCTGGTGTCGCTGCATCTACCGGTGATATTGAGGCTCAGTGTGAACTGCCCCTTCCAGAATGTTAGGATTAAGTGCGCCGAAATCCTGGAGATGGTTAAGGTGAGCGTGTATTAAATCTCTAATTAGCGTAGTAGCCTATTGATTTGATAGATAGACCCTCTTTTGTTCCTCGTTTTTTTTTTTTTTTTCAACTTAATTTGTTTCTTGGTGTCAAATTGATACAATGGTGAAAGGCTAATACATAGGATAGGATTGCGTGCTTTAATATTAAGGTAAACTATACCAATATTAAAATTTAATTAAAGATTGTGATTTTATCTTCTCAAAATTTTGTTCTCAATTTCATGACGGTTGATTTTCACTTGCTACAAAGGTATAAATACTTACAAAGCTGATGCATTGAATACAATTGTGGTATCTATAATTAGAACTATCTATTGAGAAACTTGAGAAAACGCTGCAACTATTTGCAATTTTGGTTTAAAGGTATCAAAAATACATGCTACACGTTGGAAAAATAGATATCGCAGATCTCTGTGTACAACACAACATTTAACATGTAACATTTTATAAGAAAAGTGTATCAAATTAACACAAGAGACGAGAATGAGAGTTAATAATATTACTAACTTGAAAACATTCGAAACGATAAAATGAAACAGAACCGAGAAAAAGATAAAGACCGAAATTTATTCGAAATAAATTGGATCCTTAGAATGTTCTTTAAAGTTTCAAATTGAATTGTGAGTCATTTGTTTTATGAAAACCGATAAACCAATAAACCAATAAAGAGTATTACGTTTTCTTTTTTTTTTTTTTTTAGAGTAGTTCGAAAATAAAAGTCCGTTATGGTCGCTCTGTTTTGAGAAAGAGTTATTTTTATGTTGTACAAAATAGTAGGTTCAATTTCGCACAATGTTTGCCGATCCATTCTTTAAACGGTGGATCGGCAAGGACTGACACGTTGCGTTAATGGAGTTATTTTAACAGTCTATTTTCGGAGCAGCGCCGAACCGTGGCCTAAAAATATGTTAACCATTTTCATTTGCTTGTTGCATGGTGTTGAACATGTGTAAGTCGCGTATACTATTTATATCAGAGGCATTTTGGAAGTTGTTTTTATAATCGATACAGTGAGCTTACTATGTAAAGCCTGATCGATAGTTTCGTATGACTCACATAAAATACAGGAAAATCATAAAACAAAGTTTGCCTACGTCAAACATTTCTTATTTAAATTACAATACTATGATTTTTTTTTTCTAAAAATATATATATATATTTTTTATTATATTTTTTAAGAAGTGTAGTTAGATGTGTTGTGATAAAATATGTTATACCTTTTTAAATGAAAAACGAAAAAAAAAAAAAAAAAAATATATACGCCCAACGTGGGGCTCGAACCCACGACCCTGAGATTAAGAGTCTCATGCTCTACCGACTGAGCTAGCCGGGCTGTTATTGGGTAACTTGTATTTATATGAAGATCGCAGGTGTGCAGGGATGAAATTTTCAAAAATTGGAAACTTATTACAGGACAGAGGACTTCCAGTACCAGTGCCAGCCTTCGACGGACCTAGTGCCTTCGTCCCTACGTCCGAGGTAAGTAATTTTTATAAAGTGTTGTTTGCATTGTTTTGTTCTCTCCTTATTTCGGTAACCATTTTTATTTTTATAACATTGCAATGGAATCGATCGAATTAATATCAGATGTATAAAATGTTTGAAGGTTAGAATTTATAAAATATGAAAGAGGTTAGTCGTAGGATTTAAAGAACGATTGACATAGAAGCTGCGTGGTTTCTTTTCAACGAAATTTCAGTACGAAATATCAGGGGAAGAAAAACAAAACGATTATAGTCGGTTTAATCTGGGGCATCGAATTGGCGCTCGTAGCGCTGATAAGTTTTGCCTTATGATTGGTAGTTGTCGGTAAAAACGAGTGTCACGATTGGTTGAGAGAAAGACAATTCCATGGATTGGTTCACGTTTACTTGTCCCTTGGTAACCTTCAATTTAGTCTAATTAAGAGCAATTAGGTGCTCTTGCCATTTAAACTGCGATTCTTTGCAACAGAATCAGTTAAAGGAACCTTCTTTATCGATTATGTCATATGCATTTAATACAATTAACTCTATGAAAATAATACGAATATATTTGCATTCATATTGAAACATTATTACAATTTACATTAACGTAATTATCAGATTTTCATATTTTTTTCCCACTGATAATTAAGCTGGTATATCGATCATTTCTTTAATTTCATGTTTCCATAATATGAATTCGTTTCGTTGGCTCGAACATATTTTGCATTTAACTGTTGTATTAACGATTGTTTAAATTATTTGTTTAAAATGCAAACGTTTGAAACGTTTCGCGCAATGGTCGATAGATGGCGCTGTGCGCGGCCATTCGTTAACGTGCAAATTGCCGCGCTAATTAAATTCACTTGGCGGAATAAATTACGGGATTAAATACACATTAAACGATTCGGTTCGTGTTTATAAATGTCGACTTTTATTCTTATCTAACTTTCTCTGGATTTGAATCAGATTAGATTAATCCTCCAATATTTGCATTACGGAAACCGGTATTGCAGGCAATCGGTGTGCGATTAGATAGTAGGAAGAATAATATTTACTTTATGTACCTTCTGATAATAGAAATTTGCTCGAATAATATGAATATGTACATACATACGTGAATTTGCGAAAGCGCAACACGCAAACGAAAAATGTAGCTTTTCTGTCGGTTTTTTTTCCCCCTTGACAACGTAACATTTTATACATCTGATAAAACATGCTCAAAATTATTGCGTATCAAATATTTTTCTACAGCTTTTAACGGTACGTTCAGTTTCTTTTATACATACATGTACGTACATATTGACCATCTGAATTAATTTTCGGCAGTCGCGTCGAAAGTGTACAGTTACTCGATGTCGTGCCACAATTTCAAATTCTTCTTTATTACGGTATTTCGCATGCAAGTCGAGTTTTACCTCACGACGTTTAATATTCTTGTTGTCTTATGTTTTGTGCGTTTGTCGTCGAAGAAAAACAAAAATATAAAGCAGGTAAGTGTAAAATAAAGTATTTTACAATGTGTGTCGCAATTCCAACTTAATTTTTGGTTGGATAACAGTTAATAATTTACGTTCACGTTATTGTAAATATCTGTTACACTTCAGTAGATCATTAGACTGCAGATTTTTATGTATTTTTGTACTACGTATAATCGTAATAACTATCAATGACGTGACTTTGACATCCTTTATAATATTATGTTCCATTTATCTAATACTAACGATATCACTTCATTATCTTCTTTAAATGATTTTGCATAATCATAACAAGAGGTATATTCTTTTCGCAACGTGTTGAATTTTATCAGAAGCAGATAATCCCTTCACTATTACAATCTTCTGATTATGATACGTTCCAATTTAGAAATAACAATTTAAAGTTTAATAAACTTCCAGTTATTTACATCGTTCGCGTTGTTCGTAAAACTACGTTCCGAAGAACTTATCGCTAAAGTAGAAGATTCACTCACAAATCGAATTGTCCAAAAACATTTGTTTCATCCTTTCACTCGTTTCATCTTTGACGAGGATCGACCATCGTCGATGCGCGTATCGAGTATATATCGTGTATCGAGTTGCTCGGATCGAAAAATCCTGGGGGAAAAAGCGGCGTGCACGAATTCCAGGATCGCTCCTTTGGAGTTGGCCAATCTCACGTGCTTGTGCAGCGGAATTCAGCTGGGTGGTGCATCGAGCCAAGTTCAAACCGCCCTGAATTTCTAACATGGTATGCGATTTCTGTGGCATCTTGGAGAGATGCCCAAAGTTTGGCAAGAGAAAGAGGTAAACGGACGGCTGTCGGGAAGGATGTGAAGAGAGAGAGAGGCTCAGAGGAATCCTGGTCAGGTCATTGCAAGTCGTAACTCGGTCCAGCGACCGCAAGTGGCTGCAAGTGTCTCGTATACAAGCTCCATTAAGGATCTAATTGAATCCCTTTCTTGCTGTTTTATTTTTCGGCCGTCTCTCTCCGCTCGCTCTGCTATCTTCGCGCTCGGTCTCACCGCTGGAAAACGGTATTTCTATTGAAAACCTCTTGTGTTTTTACTCTGTTTCCCTCGTCCTCCATTCGCGAAGATTGTATTACGATCACGCGAACCTAGAATTTTCGAATTCGCGTAATTGCATTAAAACTCCTGTTTCATCGGGTCTCCTCGACCAGCGCACGAACGATCGGGGTCACTGACTTCTTTCTATACGTCTTTCAATTGCCTCTGACCGCTATTCATCGTTGACGACGTGAAATACGTCCGCTGCAAATGATGCATGTTACAGTTGCGCTGTGTGCACTCCGTACGGTGCCGTGCAAATGTTTTAGACCATCTAATTCTATTAAAGGGATATCCCCATTCAGCGACGACGATTTTAAGCGATTTATTGCATAAAAAAATTGTCAAGTGGAAGGGTTTCGAAATATTTGGCTTTGTCTTGAGACCACTCAGTGTGATCTTTGGACAGTTGTCTTTAGTATTCAAATTATTGTTTTCCGTAATTTATGTCTTCTAACAGCTGTTACGATTTACATTGTTGCATTCATCTGAAAGAAAAGAATCAAAGATGAATTTAAGCTGAATGAAAATGATCATCTCGCGAACCAACACGAGGCAAAAGAATTTTTCACATTTGTATCTCTTTAGATAGTTTTAGTTAATTATTAGATATTTCGTTTCTTAACGCAAAATTGTTTAACCAAGGCACAAATTCAATTCGAACTTCTCTCTTGTCGATAGTGACGTACAATTGCTTACGAATGTATTCATTTTGGAAGAATAAAAAGGGGAATACTTGATGTTGTTTCTATTGTTGCCTCCCAAGAAAAGTTTAAATCCAAGCAGTGATATTTGTCTGAAAAAGAAATATCAATTGATTTGAGATAATTAACGTTTTCAAGAATGTCTAAGTTGCTACTGTAATAGAAACGTTATATTTGGAAATGTATAACGTTTTAATATATTCGTTTCGTACATTCTGCTATTCTCTATTCAGTTCACAAAACTGATTCCTGTTCTTCATTTCCATTCCTCCCTTGATTCTCTGTGATCCCATACATATTCTATAACATTTATTGTTAAACCAGAAACCTATTTATTGTAACATCTTTAGCAAATTTATGAACCAAATCAGATTTTATTAAGTAAACAACATTGTAGAAGGAATAAATTAAGACATACGAAGATAAATAGATAGCCCAAGTCTTTTACACAGTACTTGCATACTTACTTGCGTACTTACGTATTTGTATTTATGCACAAAAACAGGAGACATTATGATGTTTGTTTAATCTAAAATTGCTCGGAGTCTTTCCACTTGTTTTTTTAATCCTGCTGGGATCTTTTTGCATCAACGAATATTATTAAAATGAACGTAGTATTTAAATATTTGGAATTTTATAATTACGTTCTATAATTAAAATAAATTTTAAATATTTATTTTCAGCACATGTATTTCCACGTGTCTTACATTTATATTTTATATTCAATTTTTCGTGAATCTCATGATTTCTACGAACGGAGTATTTCGAAGAGATACTCCGAAAACACGAAAGGAAAATGAGACTAGCAAGGTTGAACCTCTACCTCTCTGTATAGACACGTGAAACGTGAATAGTAGTGAGCACTTTTGTTATTAAGGAGATAGTTATCGTTAATGTTCAATTGTGAGGAGCTCGGACAGGTGATTCTAAAATATAGGCCCCGACGCGAGAGAAAGCCGTAAAACGGCGGATAGGGTAGAAATAGTGAAATTTCTCATGTAAATCCTCTGCCAGCCACGTAGCCCACGCTCGGTTTGTAAGCCCTCGCGTAAATAACCAACTGCTGCCTCTGATATACCTGTGGGAATATTATCCGAGAAATATTTTCAGAGACGAATATTGAAAGTGAGCACGATATTTGATCCAATCTGTCTTTTCTACCGAGCGTTTCCAATTTTGTTCGATCTCCAGTTGTGCACGGTGCACGCTGAATGTTTATTATCCGACTTGTGTCAGACTCAGCGCGTAAATTCTGACATAATAAACGCGGCAATAATTTTAAGGCATTTCACCGTGTAGATATTGTTTATCGTTCCATTTCGTTTCGACAGTGTCGAGTTGTTTGTCAAGCGTATTTTCGCCGTTCGTTATATTTTCGCAGCCTCGCTGTGTTATTCCTCTTTCTCTTTTTTATTTTTTTCGTCGAAGGAACATTTCCCGTACTTTAATTGTTACGCCGATAATTCGATACTGGAATCGATATCGACGGTGGCAATAAACGACCCCTCGATATCAGCGTTGTCCAGTGATAAGGAATTTTTTCATTTAGTTACCACACATTCCAACTCTGGGTATCGATATAACCTCGAGTTAGGTTATCTTTATGACTTATTATGTGCGTTATTAAATGCCGTGCAGCGAAGAGGAGGATATTATTACACGAGGAAATAGGGATGGGTTTAATATGTATCTACCGGTCCGAGTTAAGTTCAATATCTAATTGCAAGTCTCGTTTCATGGGCTTTGAATATTATTCGAAAGTATATTCATTGGAAATAAAGATAGAGATAGAAAATAATATATCTACAATAACGTAATGGAGTATGTTGCGTACATGTACAGAAAAACAACAATATGCTTCAAATTACAAACAAAATCTTTGTCACACTAAAACTAAAAATCATCCACCTGTAATATTCGGAAATTTCCTAAATTGAAAGACGTGTCGTTGATTGTTTTCCAGTTTTCTCTTTTTCGTTAATTGCCAGATGAAGTTGCAGTGCGCGTTCGAAGCGATTTTATTCAGATGAAACGCTATTATAATCAAGAAATTGTATAATCAAGTTAATATCAATTCAGAAGATTAATTGTTGCAGTGCAAATTCGTGGTATACTGTAAGATGAAAAATAAAGCGTCGCTGTTCGTTACATTATCAGTGCAAGAATGGGATTGTTTTACGAGCATTAGGATTCGATTTATACTTGTAGAAGTATTCGAATTCATCGAACGTACTTGTAAGGTACTCGAGCCCATCTCTACTAGCAAGTTGTTCAATCCATAAACACGGGGCATAAACATATACGGTAGGCAAGATTAAAAGAAGGGTGGATTGAATAAACGAGTCAAGTGTTGTAATAAGAAAAAGGAAATAGGGACCAGGTGAAAATAGGGTGGTTGTGAGAGTCGGAGAGAAATTGGGAGATATTTTTACCCTTGGGAAAAATATCGGGAGGGAATTATACGTATATTTTCGTGGTACGTCTTCGGCTAATTTATCGCAAATAAGGCCAATCGTTTGTTCACGGCTTGGGCCATTCAATATCTTCGATGAACGTAAATTTATGTCAATTACGGTTAGTCAAAGAAATCTTCTTCATACAGCTACCGACTTTTAAATATACATCTCAGACAGAAGAAGGAGCGTTTTAAATGTTTTACCGATCTTAATTAATTTGTTGAGTGAAATTTGATTGATTCCAATGTGTCGATAGTGTTTTTTTTGCAGTTGTTTAAAAGAACATGTAGATAAATTGGAAACGTGATTTTTACGGACAGTAAAGAAAATGAAACTGAATGTATTATACATTCTATTCTATCCTATTATTTATTTATTACTGTGTTCTATTATATTATTATTATTACATTATATTTTATTTTAATTATAATTATAGTAACAAGGAGAACACATTTTGTGGAGTTTAATTTATTGATTTTTTTTCTTCTTCTGAACAAATATAAATATCATTTTTCTTTTTCTTTAGAATTTGCATAACTTCAGTGCTTTACGTATGTTACTTCGCTGTTTTATTTTAAATATTTGATTGATCTTTGCAACTGTATTTGCTCAAGTCTTCTAGAATTTTTTATCTCGCGTTTTAATTTCTTTCTTTCTTCGTCTTGGGCACAGGACGAGTTAATTTCAATTTCAACGGAGGATTGTACTACATTATCCTCGATTTTCTTTGACGTTGAGCTTCGGCGCGGAGCTTCTCAGTAGCTTGCATTTCCGAGCCATTGCTCGTTATGGCTGACACGCCTTACACTGCACACGCATTAGTTCCTCCTAATCTATAACAAGATACACCTTGGACTGGTCTTGCTGGCTATCAGCTCAACGTACTCGCGGCTAATTGCGATCTGCGGTCACGGCAAGGGCTATTTCTACCGCGGGCTTGAACTTCCATCCTCGTACCAAATGAATTATAGTTCGTGATTTACGGCGAACCGCCATGAAATAAATTGGAAACTTTCAGCCGAGTTTCCCTTTCGAATAAAATAAAATCTACGTCGTTCTTCGTTTTATACTTTGACCTTCCATAAACATCGTGTAACTTGAAAGTTACATATCCACATTTTGAAAATTTTTATTGCTTTACTGCTATAGCTTATCGACAGTACAGAGGTACTAATTAATTTACTTGCAATAGTCACTAAATTTTGGATGAAAAATGAGCCACAGCGGCAAAAGTCAATTTCGACAATAATATCAAATTAAACAAGTTAAACGAAATTATTACGAGATTGAAAAATTTCATCATTATTTCTCAATAATTTCATCAACACAATCTGAGAGTTGTATGTCGTATTGAATGAAGTAAATCTTTACTCCGCTAATGAGGTATACTCTGTAATTTAATATTATTTAATTTCTGTATTATTAATTTACATAATATTTGAAAAAAATGTATAGTACATTAAGCAAGCTAATATTCTTTTACGAGCAGACGAAATTCTGATTACCGCGTGTTAAAAAGTGTCTCGAAACGTGTGTTTAAACAGCTGATAGAAATTGCGACGTATACGTGGGACGATGTGTCATGGTTTTCTTGCTTGTTATGAAAACCAAGGGAATTTAGGTTACTGGAAATTACTAGTTGACACGATTGCTAAGGTTCTCCGTGGTACGCGAGTGGTTTCTCGAATTCGCAAATCCGCGGCTTACTTTATGAAGAAACTTCCTACTGTATCGTTCACCTGGACTACGCTTAAAACTCTTCGAATCTGTGTTGGTTGTTTGTAGGAAGTGGCTTATCTCGAGAGAGAGAGAGAGAGAGAGAGAGAGAGAGAGAGAGAGAGAGAGAGAGAGAGAGAGAGAGAGAGAGAGAGAAGTCTGTGACGATAGCAAGTGTGATACAATCACTGTACTTATTTCATCCAGGAGGTTTTAAAATGATAATACGACCAATTAAATACCAATTGAATAACAACTAAATATCGATCAAATAATATTTAGAAAATTTTATTTCCAGCATCCATATGCCACAATGGATGTTCAATTTTTTTTCGAACGTAATATCGAATATGTTGAACAGCGTTTTTCATTCGAAAGTAAAATTAGTTTTAAAATATTCACGATGTTAAATCGCCTTTGTATCACTGTGATGTTTCCTTTATGAAATTCGCGCAGTACAATGCTCATAATTATTCAATACGTGAAAATGAAAACATTTATCATTAACCTTTCCTCTTTGTATTTAATATCGATCTTCTAATTCGATACGCCGATTATAACGCTGGGATTTCTATTCCTATAAATAATCTAGAATAAATAAATTAAAATAAGACGTCATAGTCAAACAATTTTAAATAAACCAGCTAACGTAATTAAATAAAATGAAAAATCTGCTTCCACCGCATTTTTATCGTAACAGAATATTTGATAAAAGTGAAATATTCCGTTTCACGTAGCAGCCAACGTGGTCGAGATAAGATTATTAAATTGTTTATTATTCATTAATGTTTCCCTCTCGTATACTTTTTCCGTATTACGCATGAAATAAGACAGTTTCGTAAGCGACACGGTTAAACAGATCAATAACAAAATATTTCTTTAAACAAAATTTCCTATTTATTAAATTCTCTGCATAGTAAAATCAATATCGCATCAGTTGGCTACTTCAATTTTTCTCGTTAATTAAAAATTGGATATTTAACAGTTTACCTACCGGTAATTATATTTCGCGTACTATGTAGAACACATTACCAAGAGTACAACCACATCGTAACGTAAATTTACTGTACTGTCCGACACTGTTTGCTCCAATATCCGAAAATTCAACCCGTCCCATTGAATTTTCAATACACCCGGTGGAAGCTGAATTCACGCAACGCGAGATCGCGGTCGTCTAGACCCCGGACATCAATCATGGTTAGCCTGGACCACTGTTGGAAACTAGCTTTCTTCGGTACCGTTATCGTAACCTACGTATCATCGCGAAGCAGCGTCAGCTGTTGTGAATAGGGATGGGATCAAGTGCGATACGTATAGCTGCGAATCCGAGTCAAGTGCGATATCTAGTTTCATTTCACGGGTTTCGAATGCCACCTGAAAGTAAAAATGTTTCAATGAGCACGCTCGAGCGATGTATTCATTTTATACAAGTCGGTTTGAAACTCGTAACTAGTGAAGTTTCGACGAGGATAGGAAAATTTTCGCAAGTGATACACTTTGAATTTTGGATATTAGACACAGTGATCCTAAAATGGTGAAGCATTATCTGAGGCTCTCACAAACTGTAATCAATTGTAATCTCGTTATACGGCACACTGTTCAATTTTCAGTTTTCAAAAAACAAGTTAATTACTTTTATGACAGGATGAATTTTACTTAATTTCAAAGTCAACTTAGAAAATAATGTTCGCGATATCATCACTATATGCTAGGTTTTAATTTGTGGAGTTAATTAATTTGGCTTTTTAAGTAATTCACTGTAATTCGTTTAAAATGAGGTTTGTTCTGTTTTTTTCAGTTCTCATATCTGCATGTTTAATGTATTAATGTAATGAAGAATTCCTGTATTTTCGTCATGCGATTTTCATGCGTTACACTCGAATCGAACGCGACAACAACAAATTTTTGAAGCCAACGTTCAACTGATGGCTTACTCTTTTAAAGATAAAGTTGTGTGGGATGGGCAAATTCTGGGAAAGGGCCCACAACTTTCTTCAGTGCCCGACAATTGCAGAGTGTCGCAAGTGGCGTATTGTAGAAAAAGTTAGGCCTGGGACTAACCAGGTCTAGCATTTAAGATTTTAAGGGTATGGATGCGTTTGTGTGTATGTGTCTATGAATGACAAATTTTGTGCAGATGAGGAAAAAGGCAGTGAGTGTCGAGCAGTCGGAAAGAAGACAGTGAGTTGATAGTTGTGAAAGAGAGAGAAGAGAGTGAATTCAGAGTCTAATAAGTTTAGCAATTAAGAAAATAGTGTAAAATGTCACTTTATAATCATTATCAACCGAATTTTCTTTATTTAACTTTAAAGAAACAACCATCTTTAATCAAAATTCCTACAAATTGGGGTCTCAAGCCGGGATTCCTACAATTGATTCAAGTTAAATATTGAATAATATGATTTATTACAAGTACGACACATTTGCAATAAGTAAATTTCATTTTTTTTTTTTTTAGTTAATTCTAAATTAAGCAAAGGTTGATCGTTTTCTTAATTTTATGATTGTGAATAGTGTTACGGCAAGCTCGGCGGTGAACGGTAGTTGCTACCCGCTTCGCTAGTCGCTCTCTCGTCGTGCCTTTTACAGCCTCCGCAGAGATGTTTTAATGAATGAGACGTTATGTGGAATAAATACTTATATTTCAAGACTAATACAAAGTGGTTATAAACTGTATGTGTGATGTGTCGGGAGAGGGCACGCTAGCTCTCCTTGTGATTGCCGCGGAGTGGACGGTATTTGGACTGATTTAGTGTAAATGAAAATGAATGTATAACTGACGCGGAGTCAGTCCTCTGACGGACTGCTTGTGACTCCTTGAGTGGTCTACGTGTGACTGCCTTTCAATCGTCTGTTCGCTACGTGAATCTATGTCGCTTTTAGAATTGGTATGCGACTTTCTGGAGCCGGCCAGAGGCACCTTGTTTCCTAGACTAGGCTTTGTTTATGCCCTACCAAGCTTTTTCACATACTATCTCTCCCTCCAAGGCCAGAGAAAGTGTCCTTAGGTGAGAGGTATGTTAGCACATCTGGCAATTCTCGGCAGGGTCGAGGCTTTGTAAGAATTGACCTGACTGACGCCTTGGAGGGTTCTGTTCCGCGCCAGAACAAATAGATTTATCATAGTAAACCAGAAGAATGGAATAGTACAGGCAGTGTTCAAATGAGTCAAAACTTTTTTATCGTTCTATTATACTGATAATACTAGTACTATATTAATAATACTATTATATCATTTTAATATTACTAATATTCTTTGAGTGGTATTTAGTAGTAAAATATTACTTTGAGTGGTATTCAACGACTGAAGCTACTTGTGAGATAGTCCCATCTCTATTCACCAGTATTCGAATTTGTTTGAAAGTATCGTCTTCATTTCTGCAATATTCGAAACTAATCCACTTATTAATTCGATTACAAACTACCATTATCATTAAAAATACTTACAGAGTTCCAAGTACTTATAAATAGTATCCAACGACCAGAGATTCGACTCAATCAGTGTTCGAATTTACTTGAAACTGTCATTATCATTTCTGCAAGTATTCGCGAAACATACGTCACTATAATTCGACTATAAAGTACCATCAGAAGTACCATTATCATTAAAAATATTTACAGAGTTNCCAAGTACTTATAAATAGTATCCAACGACCAGAGATTCGACTCAATCAGTGTTCGAATTTACTTGAAACTGTCATCTTCATTTTTCTGCAAGTATTCGCGAAACATACGTCACTATAATTCGACTATAAAGTACCATCAGAAGTACCATTATCATTAAAAATACTTTCCGAGTGCCTTATAAGCACTTATAAACTTGTATTAAAGATTCGAGGCTACTTGTGAGGCACTCGATCCCATCTCTAGTCCTGAAATTCGCCGAATGGTTCGATCGGCGAGCGACCGTGGAGTTCAAAACCGGCCACCCGTTTCGCACACGTCGCCGTACTCGTGGACCAATCGGGCCTCGCCTCGAGGAGAAACAGCGAACCACGATGATCGTATAGGCGGCAGGGTTTGCAACCGGTGCACGGTCCTCGGTTCTCGCGTCTGTTGCGCGTTCGCTAGCTTCCTCCCCTTACTCTGGTGGCTCCCGTCGCGACATCGCTCTTCGCGGGTGTTCATTCGCGTGTCAGACGTGCTTGAGGTAGGACGCGCGACGTTCTCGTCTACGTTTCACCTCGTGCGTCCTCTATCTTTCTCTCTCTCTCTCTCCCTTCCCTTCCCTCCCCTCTTGTTGTCGCGGGGTTATTGAAGGCCAACGTGTCCGTTCCACGTGCGCGACGCGCACATCCACACAACGCACCTTCGTTTCCGCTCTTCAGTCGGTTTCCGCATTGAGAGAAGACGTCACGTGCAGCACACCGCGTCTTGTCCGCTGCCTCGCATTCACAGGTACGTGGCCAATGGAGGGAAAATTCGCATTTTTAATCACTCTAGGGATCCTCGCGTGCATGTGCGTAGATTTCGGTTTTATTCGTTTCGAGTGATGGCCATTGATGCCGTGACGATGAGTGAACAAAGTGGGGATTACTAACAATAATAAGTGAAAACGTTGACGGTGTGAAGCTGACACTCGCGATTTTATATCCAGCCTGTGATATCGTCGGAAACTAAATAGAGAAAGAAGTTACTCTGGCTACATTTATAACGTTTAGTTAGTCTATTTTATTCGGTGTATAAACACCATTGTTTCCTGATACTTTTTGACACTTGTGTTTTACTATTTAAATTTTTCGATGTCGACGAGTACAACGAAAACCACCGTGAATAAATATTTCTTGCATCTCTGTATCCTTTACTTTCATGTTTGATTTCCAAACATTTTATTCGAAGAGCCGAAAAAGAAAGTGACGATGAAAACGACTGTGTTCCTGTATTTTCTTATTCCTTATATTTCGTTTCTCGTACTTTTGCTATTCGCTGTTTCTCGAGGTACCAATCCCGAAAGGTACAATGAAGATTTCTTACATTTTTGTACTTTCTTATTCTCTTATCGCATTATGTTCTCTTGTGTTTTTCTATTTTATTTCCCTCGACTCCTAAACCACGCGAGAGCTACGACGAAAATTACCGCGAATAAATATTTCTCAATGCGCAAAATATAGCAGAACTCCGTATATAACGGGATTGCAAAATTGCTTAAAAAGATTCAGTTACCATACGACAGTAAATCGTTCAAGGTACAAAGGCATTTCACTTTGAATGGGCTTACAAAGTAAACGAACGAGATCAGAATATTTCTAATTGATTTGCTGCGCTTGCAGTTTCTGTGGTTTGGTTTATTCGTGACACGTAAAACAAATCGACCGGAAAGTTATAGTTATACATTAATTTGCGTGAATAACTTCATGTGTAGTATGACAGTTGTTGCTAGACCGCGGATGTTTATGCATTCTTGAGAAATTTATTTGCAAGTATCGACGAAAAAGGAATACAACGTGCAAAAATATATAAAATATGCAAAGACAATACTTTTCCTGATTGTTGAATGAAAAAGTACGAATTTTAATACAAATTTTAATACGAACGATGCAGATCATTATTAGATTGTGGATTTTTATGCATTTGTGAAATAAAAATGCACAGACTACGTGGCAGAGTATTTATTTCAGCAGATGAAACGAATTTCCATTTCTTAAGTTCGCGAAGATACAAAAATATACAAAAAATCCACCGGTCTAGTCATCGTTCTCAGGAAAATGATGCACGTTTTGAAATGTAATAATACGAGACGTGTGTCATCAACTTCTGCGTTCAAAATCCGACACCTGATCTTACGTTGCACTTCAAATTGAATTATCACGAGCACGCTCTTCTGCAAAACTAGCAATTCTGACTTGCACTCGTTTGTCCGCCCACCAGAGATTGTTTCTAGGAAACAATTTTCTAATTAATTCTTCACTCGTGCTCATAAAAGTATAATATTGCTGTATACGCCTCTAGTTATTGCTATGCAGAATTATTGTGGAATAATTAAAATCCAATGAATACTTCCCTTGTAGTCAATAAGACGTAATTATATCTCCCTCTGATAAGGCTAAACATAAATAAATAGCCATCGTTCAGCACACTTTTGACATCGTGATCGATAGCCGCGTGGCACTTGTCGCCGAAGTTGAATGATTTCCCCGCAATAACGTGTATTTTAGACTGTTTGAATCACAATGGATGGCAACACGCGACGCTATAGTACGCGATGGCGCATTGTTTCTCCGTGTCAAACGTGAGACCTTGTAGATTCGCGCGGCCCGCGCATTTCTGAGACTTCCGCAATCGTAAATTCAAAATGGCGCGCACGCGTCTATTTACCATAGCGTGATCATACTCACTATTATCACGATTCATTGTACGAAACATTAGAAATTTAGGTTTCAATCCAATACGCTCGCTTACGAATTCTTGTTCAATTCGATATTTCAGTTTTGTTTCACAGGCTTCTAGATCCAATCCTACCATGAATATTATTCTTAACAAACTATTGATACATTAGGAAGTTTATAGAAATTCGTGTTTTAACTCTTTGTGCATCGAGTTTCTTCAATTTTTCTATCGTTAAATAATTTCAGAGAAAAAGGAATCAATCACCTGAGCCTTCATTGGTTGAATCTTTATTTTTCGAATATCTCGAAACCCGAACTTGAAATCTGTCTAGCAGATGAGTATCTACAGACATTTTGTTCTGACGTTACATTCGATATTAAATTATGCGAATGCGAATGATGTAACATAAATTCGAACATTAAAAACTTGAAAAATAAAGTTTCATATAAGAGACTACGAATATTTAACAACGTTTAAACATTCTCGTGGTCTAGCTAGAATGTTCAATTTACACATCTTTTTTTTAGCAACACAAGGAGTTATTGTCACGTAAAAATGACACAAGTGTTCGCATAAAGTGATGTACCTTTCGACGTACTTTCAGAATATAAAGGGTTCAAAGGTACTCGATCCCACCTGTACTATTGCAGTTACTGCTCGATCCTCTATCCCAGTTTCTATTTGTCGGAACTCGTTCGCGCAATGACATCAAAAAATCAACGACCAGTTAGGCTTTCTACCTTTTCACCAACGTCGCGAATCCCTTTCGTTCGTTTGTTCCCTCCGAGCGTCGATACCGCGTCACAGCACAGGCGTAAAAATCATCCGGCCATGTGTATATATATATATATATCGTTCCATATAAATTTGCGATGCTAACATCACTCGACGTTCCAAAGTGTTGCACGCGCGCGTGCAATTCCCGTTGCAATAATGTTTTCCCACGGAAGCGTATCCGGCCTTTATGCCGCGAGTTCTCGCGAATTTACGCTGGTAGAATCCTGGCCCCTTGTGCCAGACCACCGGCACAGCCAACCGGAGGGGACAATCGAGCGAATTCCACAATTCCGCGCGATGTCCGCCGCAAATTTTCCGATAATGGAACCGTCTGAATGGCAAAAACGCTCCGTCCGTGCGCCGTTATTACAAAGCGTGCAGGCGTATTTGACTATTGCGCCGGTTTCCCAGTAAGACGTAGAACTCATTACGAGTTTTAGCCGATCGTACGTATTCAATCTTCTCTCCCCGTTAATTATCGATAAATACCGGCGGATTTTGCCTCGGAAGAGAAAAGAAAAGAAAACAGCTTGATTTCCCGACGATTTTCGCGATAGTTGAAATTAGTCGGTTCGTCGTGTGGTTGAATTATTGGGGCGGGCGGCGAATTGTTGATTACGTATACCAGTTGTCAAATTTTACGTTCGTTTTGCACGGTCGTGAATTATGGGAAAACCGGGACGGTTTCGCGTGTCACGTGAGTAATGGCCACGGCGAAAATAGTGGCCGGGACGAACGTGAATTGATAACACGTGACGAATTCACCGGTGTCTCTAAGCAAGGTGAATTGTCGTCCCGAATTGCTAATGCCATTGTCGTGATGCCTGTAACGAGATTACTCGTCGTTGTTCAAGGTTGCCGGACTTAGCCCGGACTATAGTCGCGACATTAACGCGAATTATGACAGCAGATTGAAACACACAATAATTCTCTTCTCTCTAGTTCTTAACTCTTGAAATTATTCGAAACTTCGTAATAATTTCAAGGTATAGATTTCGAGGTATACTTCATTTTTTTAGGAATTTTTTTAAGATTGTAGAATCTAAAGAATTTTCATTTTCCGGAATCTAAAGAAATCCAATAATGTTAATCGATTCACGAGAAATCGCACGAATGAGACATTGGTTCTTGACAGTTCAAAAGTTCTGTTCTACATTATTCATCAAGCGTGATTTGAACCTTTTCATTTATTGTAAAAAGATAAATTACGCATCGAGACGAACCACGATGATTAAATTTCGTTTGATTCTTTTCGTACGTAGAACTTCATCGAAAAGCAGGCTAATCTTGATTCGTAAAATTAATCAACAACTAAAGATTTCAATTGCAGTAATTATAAAATTGCTTTACAACGATTGAAACGTATCGAATTTAGATTAACTGTCAAGAAAGCTGTGGACATTGAGATTTTACATTACAAATTTTGTTGAAGCCTCGTTTGCTTCAACGATCGCCTGTGCATCCTGGTACCGTCATAAATATTAATCGTACAATAGCATCTAGATACCATCGTAAATGCCAGCTGTATAGTAACGTTTAGATACTATCTTAAATATCTAAATAACCCGTTAATTCCTAGGCAATTCAGAATCAAGTCGAATCTAATTGACTATAATTAGCTTCCGATTTTACTATAAAACTACTCTTTGACAGTCATTTGTCTGCACTCATTCCTTGTTAAGTCAGTCAGCTCCTCGTTTGTCTCGGACATTTCTGAATCTGAATCTCTTCGGATCACTCTTTGGTAAAATCTATCTATTTGGATTAAACGTGCTATCAACTAAACTAATCTCTCTATTAATCTATTTCAACGCGGCTGTGTGTTACAATGTGTTAGGTTAAACTGTAGATAGTGTGAATCAGTTACTGAAACACGCTACAGTGAGTCGTGCTTATAGTTCTCAACACATTTCGTCGTTTCATCTACAACGAGCCAATAGACGACTCTAGTCTAGATACAATAATATTGTATTAGATTGCAAAAATTTAGGATACTTCATTTTCATCTCAACGAGATGGAAAATTGTAAAATTAACTTTGAAATTCGTAATTATTATAGTCTTAAATGTATCAAATGACAACAGTTGAAAATTAATTTTAATGTCTCGCTGAAGTTTTTGCGCTACTCAAACCAGGGCGCGTATTTCGTTGATGTCGATATCGTTTATCGCGAGGCAATATTTCATTTTGAAACGGTTATTCCCGTAATATTTTGTTCGTTATCGTTGCTTGGTGCAATTTCGTTCACTGCCTCTCGTCTTTCCTTTTCTTTTTTTTTTCTTTTTTTTCCTCTT